TCCCTGTGTTGCCTGTTTCTGTTCCGCCTTCTTTCCTAACCCTCTGAATTTTGTCCTTGGGCACATGCTGCCCTTAAAAAAAACACCCTTAAATAGTTGGTTTTTCTCACATGGGGGTGAGTTCAGTTCCAGACCTGGGGAGGGACTCCTGGCCACCGTCTTGAGGGTCCTACCAGTCTCTTTCGGGCCAACAAACCTGGTCTCTTTTTATGAGGTTGAGTTCCGTTCCACACTTCTCTCCCAGTCAGCCCAGGAGCTTCTAACAAGATCCTCTTCAGGGCAGAGTCTGTGGTGGTCGTTGGGCACCATGTAGTTCTTCTGGTCTCCAGGCCTAGAGACTGATGTTTGTGTGGTCCGTTCATCCCGGGTTTCCATGGTCACCACTCTTCTTTCCTCCAGATGGGGGAAGACCAAGAGTCCTATTTTAGATGGTTGCTCATAGCTGTTAAGACCCCATTCCTTACAAGGTGGACTGTAGAACCCTGTCTCCCTGTGGTCTGTCTTTGCAGTTCCGAGGTCAGTCTCTGTCCTCTAGAAGGCCAGCCTGGGCCCAGGTGAAGGTGCTGAGTAAGGTCTGCCTTCTGCACGCCCCAGGGGCTGGCCCTTCCTTGTGATGCAGCGGACGCTCCATCTTCTCTCCGTGCTCCCTCCCCACATCTACCTGGGTGCGCAAGTGCATGAGGAGAGTCATATCTGTAGGTATGTAGGTAGGAGAATGTGTACACACTAGGTAGGAGAATGTGTACACACACGTGCATATACATGCATGAGCAAGTCTGTGTGTACCCACCAGTGTGACTGTCCATGTGTACATTTCTGTGCATCGTGTCAGGGTGCACGCAGGAAAGTGTAGACTGATACTCAGTAAGTGCACACCAGCACGTCATTGGTCCTGTCTGCCTTGTGCTCTTGTCACCGCATGTGAGTCTTTGGAAAACCTTTGGAATATCAACTCCACACCCCCCTATGGAATCCCTGGGGGCTGTCAACGGTTGGCGTGTTTTGCTGTCAACAGAAAGATCGAAAGTTTGAGTCCACTCAGAGGTTCCGTGGAGGAAAGGTCTGGTGAATTACATCCTTAAAATTCAGTCATTGTAAATTCTACTCTGCTGCATGTGGGACACTGTGAGTTGGAAGCAACCGGACGGCTCCTGGTTTTACTGACTGTTTGTTGAGCCTGCGTGTGTGAGTGATGCGCACGCACGTGTGAGGACGTGAGGTGTGTGAGTTTTTGTAGTCTCCCAGGCTCTTTGTGTCCATGTGGATGTATGTGCATGTGTGTGAGCATGTTGAAGCTCATGTGCTTGCGAGTGAGGTCTTGAGTGTGCATCCGTGTGCATGTTCGAGTGGTTGCAGGCGTAGGTGAGTGCGTGTGCATGTGTGATAGTGTGTGTGTGTGCATGTGTGTGCATGCACCTCTGCTCAGGGATGCAGCTCCAGAGAGAAATTCTCCTTCATCTGAGATGCCAGCTGCAGGGGATGGGGCTCCGTGTTTCTCAGGCTCCAGACAGCTTTCCCAGGCCCTACCTACTGCCTGGGATGCAGGGGAGCATGGCCGGACTCTGAGGAGACCATTGCAGGGTCAAGTTTCCCTCCCAGAACCCCCCTCAAGGGCTGGTGTGGGGAGGACCAGTGGAGCCTGGGAAATGGTGAGGAGGGGAGAGCGGGGTCAGCCTGGGCAGGAAGGGGCAGCTCTGAGGGGCGTTAGGCTAAAGAATGGGCAGCAGTCAGTGATCTGAGGAGGAGTGAGTGAGCCAAGCACAGGAGGCAGCGGTTCTGGCCTGGGGGAAGGCATTTCCCACCTCCGAAGTGGGTGCCCGGGCAGAAGCAGCTTCAGTGACTGGGGTCTGCGTCCTGGCTGGCCTGGGGCTCCTCCATCCTGGGCAAGATGCTCCCCTAGAGGAGACGGTGGGGGAGGATGAGTGTGGAGACTGGGTCAGCCCCTGGGACTGCGGGGCTGAGACTGAACAACAGGGAAATCAGTTGTGGGGGCCTCAGATGCTGACTCGCGGCATCCCCGTGTGTGTGCAGGGTTCAACTGTTCCAGACTGATTTCCGGTCTGCGGCCCTGCGAAGGCAGGTCGCCGGGCCCTCCTTCCTACACACCACCACGCTGGGTGGTTTCATGCCCCCAGACGCTTGGTGAGGAGTCAGGGCTTAACCCTTTGAGCCACCAGGGCTCCTCCCCTGGGAGCATGCCAATTAAATGCTTCCTGGTGACTTGACTTCAAACCAGGGCCTGTTGTTGGTGAGTCTTTGACCTGTGGGACCCCTGTCTGAGGGGGTCTTGGGAGCCACTGATGTGCAAAGTCCCGTTTGCAGGTGGCCTGTGAGACGGAGTGGGGGGCATGGGGGTGTGTGTTTAGCTTTGGAAGCTCAGGTGGAGACCGTGGTTGGTGTAAGATATGAAAACAAAAAAAATTATACTTTATCAAGGGATCACGAGGGAGTGGGGGGGGAATGAGCCTGATACCAAGGGCTCAATTAGAAAGAAAATGTTTTAAAAATGATGATGGCAACACGTGTACAAATGAGCTTGAGACAAGGGATGGATGGATGGATTGTGAGGAGCTGTAAGAGCCCCCAATAAAATGATTAAAAAAGAAGAAGCTCAGGCAGTTGGTGCTGGAGGCACCCATCAAGCACCTGGACCACCCCCGCCATTTACAACTAGGGAAACTGAGGCCTGCAGGGCAGTGCTCTTTCCAGGACTGCCCACAAGACAGGGAGGGGTCGGAGCCCGTGCAGCCTGGAGCCCGCTCTCTGCCGGAGGGCCCCTCCTGGAGCTGTGGGGGCCCGGGCGGCTGTCCCAGAGGAGCCTCTGTCATTACAGGATTAGGAGCGGCCTCTCCCCAGCCTGGCCCTCGCCCCTCAAAGCCGCCGGCCAGCCGGGCGGAGACGGGGGTTGGCGGCTCAGAGCCGGTTTCCAGGTGTGTCTGAAGAAACCTGGCATCCTCGGGCGGCTCCTTCAGTCTCAAAGGTCCCTTTGTGGCTGCAGCCTCCCTCTGCAGGCTCTATTTTGGGGGGTGGGGACCCACCCTGCCCCAGCTGGAGGAAGGAAAAGGTGTATTTCAGTATGTCCTGTGGGTGTGGGGGAATCACTCCGTGGGGCTCGGGAATGGTGGCCACAGCCCAGAGGTGTGTGTGTTGGGGGGGGGGCGTTCCAGGTGGAGGAGGCCCCAGGGCAGTGGCCGTAGCGGAGGCGAGGAGGGTGGTGGGGAGGGTGGTGCGGGCTGGGCTGGACTTTCATGTGGCTCCCGAGGACTCTTGGCTGACCCTGCCGCGCTGGAATGTGGGTCTGTGGCCTGCCTGGCGCCCTGCCGGAGACCTGCCTGCCTGGACTTCCCGATTCCCACCCTGTGGGGGCCCAGCCCCTGCCCCAGAGGGAGAGCAGCCCTGCCCTCCAGGACCTCCCCTGTGGGCGCCCAGGGCCTCCTGGAGCTGGTGCTCAGGGCACCCTCGGAGCTCTACTCCCTGCTGGCTCTGTTCCCCATACTGGGTCACACTGCTAGCTCCTGAAGCAGGCAGGTGCGGTTGGTCTTCAGCCTGGCTGGATGCTCTCCGTGGGCCCTCTAATCTGGCCCACCCTCCAGGGTTCTGCCCACGGCCATGTCTGCCTGCAACCTCCATGCTCCTGCCCGGCTCTCCTCTGATCTTCCCCGGGCCGCCCTTACCAGGCCCTGTGGTTGCCAAGGCCACACGGAGCTCTGTGCCAACAGCCTCCTTGCCCTGACCTCTCACAGGGGCAGCCCTAAGGGCAAGGAGCGCACCAGGAGGTGCCTTGCCGTGTGCCCCGGAGCCAGAGCCTCCTGGCTGGTAGATGAGAGGTTAGGTGGGCTGATGCATCGAACATGCCGTGAAGACTGAAAGGCTGAAGGGGTGCGGGGAGTGGGACTCCGGTTACTGGAGCCTGGGCTGCCCTACCGTTGCTGCCCCGTGACTCTAAGAATAGACTAATTCCACTCCAGAAATAAGCTGTGAGAAATGAGAACCCATCGCTTCTTCTTGGGACCTCATTAAGCCCCTCTTGAGTGAGGGGAATGAGGATTATCCTAATCCCTTGGCCTGAGGTGGGGGGAGGGGTCCTGGAGCTGGATCTGGTGAGCCTGCGGGGACCTGTGGTCACCGGAGGACACTGGGAGCAGGGCAGGGTGGGTCCATGAGGCTGCGCCAGCCCCACAGTGCGCAAGCCTGGGGGTTCCTGCTTGCATTTCAGGCTAGTGTTACCCTGCATCAGCTGGGGCCCTGGCACAGACCTTGGCCTGGGCTGGGGCTTGGGTTCACCGTCTGCAGTGGGGGGTATAGGTCCACATATTGCTCTGGGCAAAGGTGGCCCCGAGGTTGGACTTGACTATGGCCTGCAGAAGGTGCTGCTGAGGGGGTGCCAGGCCAGGTTGGCTCTGGGGCACACAGTAGCATGGATAGCAGAGGAGGGCTGGCAGGCTAGGAGTTTCCATGGGCCTTTCTGCTTCTCTGTCACTCACAGGGCCTGGGAGCGCTTGTTCCCTCCTACAGGAGCTGAGGTGATTGAGGGCTGGACCCTGGGGGCTGTTCATTAGGGACAGAGCTGCTCCCAGAGTTGGCCTGGCCCCCTCCTCTGGTCAGCGTGTGGCCTGGCCCAGAGAGGGATGCCTTCTTGCGCTCCGCGCTGCTGGAACCGGGCCCCAGACTTCGCACACCAGTATGTCTTGGTGGTGCCTAGATCCAGCACCACCTATTTCCCTATGGATCCAGCAGTTTGGCTGCAATCTGCAAGGTCAGCAGTTCAAACCCACCAGTCTCTCCTCCGGAGAAAGACATGGTTTTCACTCCCCTAACAGTTACAGTCTCGGCAATTCACAAGGGCGGTTCTACCCTGTCCTGTAGGGTTGCCGTGAGTTGGCATGGACTCGATGGCCATGGGTTTTGTTGGGTTTCTTCTGTGGAGTCTTAATCTCCCTTCTCTAAGCTGTGGGCAGTGACTGGCCTGCGAGCCTCACCTGGGCCACCTTTGTCCACAGGTGTTCCTGGCTCTCGGGGAGCTGCTGTTATCCTGCAACTGGGCAGTGGTTGCTGACATCTTGCTGGTAAGTGTGGGAGTCAGGATGGGGGCCTCCGGGCCTCTGGGGGAGGGAGGCAGGGCCTGTCCAGCCCAGGGCTGAACCTCTGCCTGTTTGGGAGTGGGGAGGGGCTTCAAAATCTGTAGGGCAGAGAACCAAGGTCATTAAGCAGTTAATTAGCTGGGGCCATTGACGGGACTCATGCAACATCTCTGACCTTCGTTCCCGTTTTGCAGGAGAGCCAATGGTGGCTCAGAGAGGGCATGTGCATGGACCAAGGTCACACAGTGTGCCAAGGCACTGAGGCAGGACTGGAGCTTAGGCTCCTTTAACTTAGGGTCCCTTCTCAGCAACCCCCCACTCTAGGCAGTGTGAACCCCGATGCAGGAGGCAGGCTGCTGAGCCCTGTGGTTGAGGCTGCCCCAGGTTTCGGATCATGAGCTGTAATATAGGGAGGTGGGTTCAGGCAAGGACTTGGCCTTATCACATGACTCTGGTAGGTCCAGAGCCCAGCACAGTGTCTTCCCAAGTGGCAAGCTCCATTGTCTCCTCTGGGAAACATGCAGAGAAGGCCTTGGGAACAGGACTTTGCAGGGGTTCCGAGGGCCAGTCATGCACGGCAAAGTGAAACCAGCATGGACCCAGCTTTGTAAAATGTGGGTGCAGCAGGGCAGTATGGGAACGGGAACAATTACAGATCAGCTGCGAGCTGGAGATGGAATCTCCCTCTTAGAAAACAAGGGCGGCATGTGCGTTGCATAGCAACCAAATCTCCTGAACAGCAGAGTCAGAAACACCAATGGTGGGCCCAGGGATGGCAGCTGACCATGATGCTTTGACCCTGTGTTGCTGCCCACACACCTCCTCTCCACATGTCCAGTCTCCCCACAGCAGACTCCTGCGAGGACTCACGGAGCCTCTCCCATGCATACATTTTCCCCATTCCAGTTGTGTTCTGGGACCCTCAAGGTTTAGAAATGTGGGTCTGTTCCAATTCCACGGCATCGGCCATATCTGAACTGGCTCGAATCTGTTCGAAGTACAACTTTGAAGGCTGTGAAGGGCTGTCGGTGTGTAACCCAGGGCCCCAGACCTGGGAGCACACCAAGACCTCTCCCATGCCCCCTGGTGGAAGGTGCTGGATCCCGGGAGCCTGTGCCTGACAGTGGGCAGGCCGCTCTCCTAAAGCTGGCTTCAGGGAAACTGACCAGGCTTCCAGCCCTGGCTCTGCAGCTCACCAGCTGTGTGACCTCAGGCAAGTCGTACTGTGTCTCTGGGCTCTCAGTTTTCCAAGGTGGAAATGGGGATGATAATTGTCCTAGCTCACACCAGCTGTGAGGTCGAAATGAGATTGACTGATGTGAAGCTTTGCCCAGTGCAGGGCACAGACGATCCCCTGTGAATACCGGCTGGGGGTCTGATAGCAATTCAAATCTCCACTTTCTTCTTTTCTGTCACTCAAAGGGAATCGTTGGGTCGTGCAACAGTGCTCTGCTGCTCAGAGAAAGGTTAGCGGATCCTCTTACTATGGTTGAACTATTGAATTGTATGAGATGTGGATGAAGTGCCAATAAAATTTTTAAGAAAAAGAGGAAGAAGGGGTAGTGGTTCAGGTCCACCCGAGGTGCCTCAGAAGAAAGGCCTGGTGATCTAACTTCCCAAAGCAGCCATTCATTGCAAAGAGACACACGTGGGGTCAACTTGAGTCAAAGTCAACTCAAAGGCAGCTGGTTTTGCCCCCCTAAGAAAACCCGGTGTCCGGGCATGGAAGATTGAAAGGGCTTTGGGGATCTGCTGTCCTTGTGCACTAGTCAGCATGGTGGCTGCTTGCATCCTACTGTGGGTGGGACGCTCTGGCCCCTCGCAGGGCAGCTTGAATGGCCCCCTCCCTGTGCTCCCTGCTCAGCAGTGCGTTGCCTGTGGCTCCTGGGTGGGACTGCCTGCAGAAGGGTTTTCTCTGCCTCACCCTCCAGACAGGTGCTTCGGACTCCAGCCCAGGGTCAACCACAGACCCGCTGTGTGGCCTCGGGCCTCAGTTTGCTTGTCTATAAAAGGGATGAGCAGAACTCGCCTGGCGGGTGAATGAGCCAGTGAACAAGAAGGCGCTGCCTGGGCCCGCAGGAACGTGGTGGCCGACTGTGTGTGGCTGTCTACTTGCCACTGTGTGTGCCCCCCCCCCCCAAAGCACAGCTTCTACTCTCTCAGGCTGGGCAGCTGGAGCTGAAACTGGCCCCCTGCAGCGTCCTCCCTGCCCCCCACTGCGCTATCCCTTTCCACATGACAGCTCCACAGATATGTGAGGAGCGTGTGCATGTCCTTCAGGGTCTGTGTGTGCCAGAATGATTAACCTGGCCCAGTCAGGAGGGATGGCTGTCGGGGGAGGGGACGTAGGGCCAGCCAGCCGTGTCTGACCCATCCGGCTCTGCTGGGGAGCTGGCCAGGCATGATTCCATCCACCCAGCCAGGGCTTCCCACAGCCCCTCCCTCGTCTGGAGGCTTCCAGACCCCAAACCTAGGGAGTTCCATCCCCTCGGGAATTCTTCTTGGATGGCCCTATCTTTCCCCTTCTCAAAGCCCCTCAGCCTTTCTGCAATTCGTGTTGAGAACCAGACCAAACCTTGCAGCCCAGCCGTGCAGCTCATCTTCCCCAGGGTAGAGTCAGGAGGGATGGAGACAGGGCCAAGTGCAGACCAGGGCAGGTTGTCAGGACCCAGTCTGTAGAACGGAGGGCCAGACGCTGTGCTGTTGCAGGCTGAGGGGAAAGGGGGAAGTGAAGGAGGCTGGCCAAGGGGTAGACAAGTACCCCAAGAAGAGAGGAGAGAGAAAGGATGGTCACTGGAATTGGCAGAGGGTCAGGGGAGGCTGGTGGGGCCTCCCAAGAGGCCAGGCCACAGCAAGCATCCTGGGGTACAGAGGGCATAGGCTGAGGGGGAGAGCTCAGAGGCCCAGGGGTTGGAGAGTTGGTGTGGAGGACGCTGCTTCTGGCGAGAGGATGGGCAGTGCATGCCACCCAGGGCTGTGGAAGTCACTGGCCTCCGAGAGGAGGCCTGCCCGGAGGCGGCAGCCTGAGGACAGCCGGAGGCAGGAAGTGTGTGGGGTAGATGCTGTGTGGCCGGTGTGGAGAGATCCCATCTGCTGGGCTGGATTTGAGATGAGCTTCTCATCCAGCAGGGACCTGAAGAGAGCAAGGAGTGTGTGCATGCATGCATGTGTGCGTGCATGTATGTGTGCATGCATCCGTGTGTGTGTGTGTGTGTGTGTGTGTGTGTGTGTGTGGTGCTTGTGTGGAGGGAGAGCAGGTTGTGGAGGGGAGGGGGACATTGGACTCAATAACCCTGGGCTGGAGGGAGGCCACGGAGCTGACAGACAAACCTTCGAAGGGGCTGCACGTCTGGAAGGTGGGAGCCTGTTGGTGGGGTCAGAGGGTGAGCCCAGGAGCTAAGACTCTGGAGCTGACCACCTCCGTCAGCTCCCAGTCCTGCCACTCACTTGCATGTGACCTTGGTCATGAATCTTCACTTCTCTGGGCTTCCGGGGCCTCAATGATAAGACAGGGAGAACGTTTTAAAAAAGTGAAGGACTAGTTGTCACAGAGCCACCTCTGAGTCCTGGTGACCCCTTGCGTGCCGGTGTGGCACTGTGCTCCCTCGGGCTTTCCACAGCTGTTGGTGTGGGTTTCCTTCTCCTGAAGCAGACTGCCAGGCCTTTCTGCAGAGTGCTCTGCACGTACTGGGGCCCTGGCTATCTCTGGTCCCCTCCACAAGGAGGAGACCTCAGATTCGCTCTGTGGGAGGGACTCCCAGGGCTCGCTGTCCCGAGGTTTTCAAGCTTCACTGTGTGTAGGAGCCACCTGGGGCTGGAGGGTGCTTGTGACAAATTCAAATTCTAGGCCCTTTGTCCTCAGAGTCTGATCCAGTGAAGCCCAGGGATCTGCCTTTCAACTTCCTGAATCACTCTCAAGTAGCTATTCCCAGGAGCATCCTTGGAGAAACATTGATCTGGGTTAGCTTGTTTTCCCAAGTCCCAACCAGGGTAGTCCTACCTTCCTTTATATACTCCTCTGTCAGGGAGCTCAGTCACTCAACCCCGGCGGCTCCTGCCGCCTGGCAGCTCTTTGGCTAAAAATGGTGGGGCTTACATGCAGAGAAGACCAGCTCCCAGCCTGGCTGGACCCTCAGCCTCAGAGGGACCGGCTCCCTGGAACCCTGTGTCTCCAGGCCTTTGCCTCCCAAACCAACCCACGGGCTCTCCAGCTGCCTCCCAGCCCGGCTGGCTGTCTGGACCCCGCACCCCCGGTGGCTCAGAGCCCACTGACCCCACCCCAAGCATGGCAGAGCAGGGCAGGAGACCTTGCCCTCTCTTTCCCAGCCCTGTGCTCCGGGCTTCTGCAACCCAGCCACCAACCTCAGCTCCCACCTCCTCAGCAGGTTTCCCCAGCGATCCCTGGAGGGTCAGCACCCCCCATACCCCCTGCTCAGCCTCTGCTCCCCACCAGGGTGCCGTCTGTTCTAGTGTGCTTGCTCATCTGTTTCACCTCCTAGGGGTGTCTGGGGGCAAGGCTGAGCAGGACGCAGAGGGGGGCCGGCCAGGTGGTCTGCACCTGGTGGCTGCTGCTGTGGTGGCACTGGTCTTGCCCCCGGGGTAGAAAGGGAACAGCTCTTCTAAGAAGGGAAGAGCCACAGACAGAAGTAGGGTTATCTCAAAATAGAGCCGGCCTGGAGTCTTGGGCACCTTCTAAAACTACTCCCTGCACTGGCCAGCTGCTGGCGGGCCCAGCCTTGGCTCCCCTGGCTACAAGACCACAAGGAGGACCCAGCACAGACGGGGAGGGCTCCTTCTCCCACAGCTGCCAGTGATTCACAGTGGGTTCAGCAGGTGGAGGTTTCTGGGAGGAAAGGAAGAGACTGAGGGGCTGAGAAGCCCTGGCCCCCAGCTTGGCCTTTGGTGGTCACTCAGGGTCCACCTTCCAGAGGCCTTTCCCTTCTCCCCAGAGCCACCCGTGAGTAATCGCATAATTATGAGGTGAGAAAGAAGCTCTTGCGGAGGTGCAAAGCTGTGGTCAGTTCCTCCTGACTGCTGGCAGGGCCAGCGAGGGGTGGAGACCCAGCTTCCTTTATGACCAGGGCCAGCACCACCATGACTCCTGCCCCTCGGCCCACCCACACGGCTCCCCTCTCACCAGACCCCTGCAGCACCAGCCTCCGGGTTCTGGCCTCCACACCCTTGTCCCCACGTGCCTGTTCTTCCCACTGCTCTGCCCAGCACGGTCCTGTTCAATGGTTGGGAGCTAGTCCTCTTTCTCTTTTTCCTCATTTCCCAAATGAGGAACGGAAAAGCTCTTCCTTGCCTGGGACACTAGTGTGGTCAACAGGCCAGGTCCAGGGTCAGTCTCAGCTCTGCTGTTTCCTGGTGGGGTGACCCCGGGGCACGTTCCTTAGCCTTTCTGTGGCCTCGATTCCACTCAGACCGTAATTGCATCTCTCTCTCTCATGGGTGATTGGAGTTGATATATAAAATGCATGCAGGAAGTACTTAAGAAGTGGTAGCAATTGTTGCTGTTATCTTTGTCATTATCCTCTGATGAGTTTATATTGATGGAGCCCTGGCGGCATTGCTGGCACCGTGGTTACACACGGGGCTGTTAGCCGCAAGGTCAGCAGTTTGAAACCACCAGCCGCACCGAGGGAGAAGGACAGGGCTTTCTACTCCCGTAAAGAGTGACAGTCTTGGAAAACCACAGGGCAGTTCTACCCTGTCCTTTAGGGTCACTGTGGGTCAGCACTGACTTGATGGCAGTGAGTGAGGGTTTTTTTGGTGGGGGGGGCGAGCTGGGGTGTTTGGTGGAATAGGCATTGAGCCGCTAAAAGCAAGGTCGGCAGTTCAAGCCCACCAGCTCCTCCCTTTGAGAAAGATGAAGCCGTCTGTTCTCATAAAGATGGACAGTTTTGAAAACCCTAACCAGGGGTGCTGTGAGTTACAACCGAGGTGGCAGCAGGGGAAGGCCTCGGGAGTGGGTCTCGGATGCCCGGTCAGTTCCTGGTTGAGGCCTCTCCTCTGTGCTCCTCCTCTCCATTCCCCAGCCCCGCCCTGCTGCAGCCCTGGGCTCTGGCAGGGCTGTCCCCTGGGACCAGTCAGTCTCGAAGATGCTTCTTCTACTTGAGCGCTTTGACTGGCAGCTTTTCAGCTAGTCCCCTTGGTGCCTGGTGCTCGCTGGACCCCAGGGACCTGTGAGGAATTGTACAAGGGGCGGACGAAGAAAAGCAGTCTCCTAGCTCCGAGTGACACCTGCGAGTGGCCTGGGGACACTCAGGGCAGGATTCTGAACTCTGAGAGGGCGTCACAGAGGTAGTGATTCCAAAGCAACAAATCGGGATGCTCAGCAGGACCGGAGAAGGAAGGCGTGCTGACCAAAACACAGCATCACCACCACCGCCAGGCCAGCTGGTGGTCAGTCCCTTTCAGCACATGGCCACACCCTGCCGGGTCAGGTAGAACCGAGCTCCACGGGGTTTTCCTAGGTGGTCGCCTTTCAGAGGGCTCACCAGGCCTTCCAACTTCTGGGCTAGTGGCTAAGTGTGTAACCAGCTGACCCATCCAGAAAGCACAGAGCTCAAATGCCCAGAAGCACTCGCGGAGTGCTGGGGTTTGACATAAACAAGACGCCTCCTGGTAGGTACCAGATTAGTCATGATAACTCAGTCTTGTAGAGAAGTGCTGTCATTATCTTTATTTGAGGGGAAGGGGAGATGGAGGCACAGAGAGGAGAAGCGATTTGCCCAACGTCATACAGCCAAGCGAGTGGGGGGACCAGGGATGGGGACTCAGACAGCTTGGTGGCAGAATCCATATTCCTACCTGCTGGCCAGGGGCCGCCATCGAGGCTACAGAAGGGCGGCAGAGCCCACGTCACCCTCTTCCATGGAGTTCCTTCTCACTCTGCCAGCCTGGACCTCTGCCCAACCCCATCACTTCTGTCACAGCTGTACCTGATCTCTGCCCAGGCTTTTTATTTTTTTACTATTAAAAAATTTTTTTTTAATTGTGATTAAATACATGGGACATAACCTTTCCCATCTTAATAGTTTATACATATATGATTCAGGGGCACAAATGACACCCATGATGCTTGTGGTCATCACCAAGTTTTGTTGCCGAAACTGTACATCATCCTAAACAGAAACTCTGTGCCCCGGAAGCATTGTCCCCACCACCCCCTTCTTCAGGCACCCCCCCCCCCTCTCCTCTCCATGGCAACCGCCAATCCAACTCACTCGGGATCATTCATATACGGAGGCTGCAACCATGTTTGTTGTTTCGTGTCTGATTTGTTTCCGAAGAAGGCTTCCAAGGTCCAGCCACGTGCTGTGGTGGTTGGGTTCCCGTGTGTCAGTTGCGACTCCTTAGTGAGTCCTCCGGACCGCAGAACTAAGCCCTGCCGGGCCCTGCGTTGGCCGCACCACCGTGCCATGTCTGCAGCCACTGCGCCGTCCCATCTTGTGGAGGGGCTTCCTCTTTCTCCGCTGGCTTCGCCAAGCACGACGTCCTCTGGTCCCCGTCGAGGACAGCTCGGAAGGACGAGATGAAGTTGCTACCCTCCCTTCTAAGGAGCCTTCTGGCTGCACTTCTTCCCAGGCGGATTTATTCATTCTTCTGGCAAAAGCCCTCCCCCAAACCTACAAACCCATTGCCACCTGGCAGTCCGTGGTATATTCCATGCTCTCTACTGACGCCACAATTCAAAGGCCTCAGTTCTTCGGCCTTCCATCCTCACCGTTCGGAAACGTGATTTCTCTCTGGGGTTGACTATCAATCCTCCATTGTAGGCATGAGAGGGCTGCGAATCATTCATGGAAAAACCCCATTATCTTATCCTTCTAGCTTTCCAAGAACTTTTTGAAGCTCCCTCCCCACTACCCCGTTTATGCCACACTTGGCTCATCCATTTATTCATTTCCAGTTGGAGACCAAAGCCTTAAGCTGGGGCCCCCCGCCCCACTGTTCTCATGGTGGCTGCTCCCCCAGCCAGGCTGTCACACTTCCAGGTCCCTGACCTTGGCAGGTGGAAAACAGGAGGTGGTATGGGGTCTTCACCTTCTGTCCTCACTTGGGGAGCTTTCCTGGGATCCTGTGTTTTGCAGTCTGTGGTGGTGCCCAGGTGCCGGGGGACGGCAGAGGCGCTGCAGATCACAGTGGGCCACATCCTGGGAGATGCGAGCAGCCCCTACCTCACTGGCCTGGTAAGGCCCCGGGGGTGGGGACCACCTGTGCTAAGACCTGCGGTGTGGTCTGGTGGGCCAGCAAGGCGCAGCCTTCCTCCTCCACAGATCTCCAGTGCTCTGCGGGCAAGGCGACCGGACTCCTACCTGCAACGCTTCCTCAGCTTGCAACATAGCTTCATGGGCTGCGCCTTTATCATCGTCCTGGGCGGTGGCTGCTTCCTGCTGACTGCGCTGCACCTGGAGAGAGACCGAGACCAGGCCCAGGCCCAGGCCCAGGCCCAGGCTCAGCCGACTGGCACAGGTACCCTTGCCCGTCCCACCCATGCCCGTCCCACCCACTCAAGCTGAGCCCCTGGCCAGTTCGTTCATTCATTCAAAAGTATTTATTACACACCTATTAAGAGGCCTTGTGGCACAGTGGTTACGAGTTGAGCTACGAGCACCAAGGTCTGAGGTTCAAAATCACCAGCCACTCCACTGGAGAAAGACGGGGGCTCTCTACTCCCACAAACAGTTGCAGTCTGGGAAACTCTCAGTGGCAGTTCCACTTTGTCCTATGGGGTGGCTGAGAGTCAGCATCGACTCAATGGCAGTGAGTTCTGAGTTTTACGAGCCCAAGGGAGGGGTCCCCTGGTGGTACAAAGAGTTAACACACCTGGCTGCTAACTGAAGGGGTGGTATTTTGGGTTCACCTGGGGGCCCCTTGGAAGAAAGCCCTGGTGATCTTCCCCCCCGCCCCAAATGCAATCAGTAAAAACCCTGAGGAGCTCAGCTCTACCCTGGTACCTGGGAGGCTGCCACGGGTTGGCATCGACTGGATGGCAGCCGGACTTAGGTGTCAGGCAGCGGTGCAGGTGCTGCGGTGGAATGGATTGGGCCAGGTCCCAAGCCCTCTCGTGGAAGGAGACGAAGGCGAAGCAGACAGAGCAAGCAGATACCAGAGTTTGTCTGTGGCACTTTTGAGGGAATAGGTGCTCAGGAGGGACAAAACAGGGAGGGGGTAGCAAGGGCCAGGTGGGCATATTTGCTAGGGTGGTCCAGGAGGGCCAACAGGTGGGAGTGGAACACAGGCTTGGAGGAGGGGAACCATGCAGCTATCTGGGGGAAGAGTGCTCCCAGCAGAGCACAGAGCCTGTGCAAAGGCCCTGAGGTGGGAGTGGTTGATGTTCGAGAGGCCAGTGCAGCTGGGAGTGTGGTGAGGTGGGGGGCAGGGCATGGTGGGTTGGGGCTGAGGGCAGGAGTAACAAGGCAGGGCATGGTGGGCTGGGGCTGAGGGCAGGAGTAACAAGGCCACAGCAGGAGGAGCCTGGTGGGCCCCGGTGAGGGCTGTGGCCTTAACACCGAGGGAGTAGGCACTGGGGGTTAGGTGGTAGGCTGCTAACTGTGAAGTCGTCCGTTCAAATCCAGCAGCTGCTTTGTGGGAGAGAGATGAGGCTGTCCGCTCCTGACAAAATTTAGTCTCTGGAACCCTGTGCAGGGTCACTATGAGTCTGAATTGACTTGATGGTAGTGTGTGTGTGTGTGTGTGTGTGTGTGTGTGTGTGTGTGTGTGTTCAGGGAGGAGGTGCTTTCGGGGAAGGAGCAGGAGGGGTCAGATTTACATCGTCACTGCCATCTGGAGGATTCACACTGTTGACCTTGACGGGAGCGGTCAGCCTCGTCTTTCTCCCAGGGCTGCTTGGGTTTGAACTGCTGCCCACAGCACCCCCCACGGCTAAGGTCAAACCGTCTGTGGGGGCCTAAAGTGAAGCAGAGAGGCCCTAGGAGGTCCTGCGGTGATCTAGGCTGGAGAAGCTGGGGAGGGAGGGGTCGGCCTGAGGATTTAGTTTGCAGTTTGAAAAGATGTCCAGTGAGATTGTGCCCAGCTCACCTTGGGGCTGAGTGTCACTCCTCCTCCAGGGCCTTCAAACAGCAAGGATGTGGAGCGCCTCAGCCTGCTTTTGGGGGCGGAAGCCCCTCCAGAGAAGCCCTGAGACCCCTGCAGGAAGCAAGGAGGCCCCGCCCACTGCTCGGAAAACCTGGCCCTCTCACCAGCCTCCACAGTTGCGAACCGCTGTGACCTTTGGCTGTGGCTCAGGGACCCCGGCAGAGCTGCACCTGCCACTTCCACCCTCCCAGCCAGAGAGCTGGCCGGCCCGAGGCCTGGGCCAGGATTGAGCTGTCAGCACCCTCGCAGGAGGCCTGGGCCTGTGCCCGTACACTGCACCAGCCCTGCCGCTCTGGGGTCTGCAGCCGGGGTGCCAGGGTCCCCCATTAAAGCACGGAGCCTATGAAGTTCAGGCCAGTGGGCCAGCATGTTGTTTCTGCCTCAGGGTACCTCTGCTGGGAGCAAGAGGGACGAGAGGGGGATCATCCCAGCCCTCCCTACGCGGTGCACCCTGCTCAGTAGGGGTCTCGAGGTGTTCCCCATCCCTGGGCCTTCCAGTTCATGAGACCCTTTCTGACCCCGACCCCCCCCCCCACTCTGCAGGGCAGGAAGGTACAGGACACCCTCTGTGTGAATTCACCCTCTGCACACAACTCGGGGACAGATGGTGGTCTGAGAGATGGGTTTCTCCTAGGCCGCTCAGGTGTGGTGTGGTGACTCCTGGCTCCTGGGCCTTACGGATCCGCTGCCACACTGATATCTTCACCGGCCCAGCTACCATCCTCTGACACCCCCCACTCCCCTGTCTCCACGGTGGGTGGGGAGGGCTGGCTCTGCGGATCCCACACTTGCTGCTGTGTTCAGAGCAGCTGGACTCAGTGGGCCTTGCGGGAGGCCTGCAGCTTCCAGGCAGGCAGCGGTGGGGAGGCATGCTCTCTCTGCCCACGAGCAGGAGCAGCCTGCCCCTCCCCTGCTGCCCGGCTGGGAGATCACTTGTTTGCTTGCTGATGGCCACCTTGGTGGTGCCAGGCTGTGCCTACCTCCCGGCAGCTTCCGAGCAGCGTGCATATCTCTGACCTTGGCTTGCTCCTGCCCTGCCTCCTGGGGCTCCCTGCTCCAAGTGGTTGGATAGGCTAGTCTCCAGGGCCCAGGCTCTTCCCCTGAGCCCTTGCCCGCTCCCCAGTCTCAGCCCTTCCTGGAGAGTTGACATCACAAACTGCCCAGCCAGACTCGGACCCATGATTCAACGCTTATAGTTCATGAACTGGGCTGCCCCTGATGTCATAAGGAGAGGAACTCATGAGGACATTTGGTTTCTCTTGAGAAGGAGCTGGCTGGTTGGGGACATGACGGCCCCCCTCCCTCCCGCCACATTAACTGATGGTGATGGTGTGAGCTCAGTCCCTCTGTGCCCCTGCCGCACGCAGACTCCCCTGCTCCGCACACGAGGCTTGTTGGGCATGGCTGTTCTGACCCAGCCCCTGTGGAGTGTCCACCGAAGTCCAGCTCTGAGCCCTGGCATGGGGAACCCGCAGGAGGGTGAATGTCTCCTCAAATGGTCAAGCTCTTCTCGTGAGCCAAGCATCACCGCTGTCCCCCATCCAAGCCCAGGGGCTGGAGAGGACAGTCGGAAGGCTCCTTCTTGTCAGCCCCACAGTCATGCAGTGGGAGCGATGGTCACCATTGTGGTGCCAGTGCCTATTCCACCCCCACCCCTGCCCTTGGACCTGCCAGTGAGGGCAGACACTCAGCTAACCGAGTGAAAGGAAGCTCCCTGCAGGTGAGTGGTTTGAACCCACCCAACGTCAACCCAGAGCAAAAGACCCGCTTCCATTAAGAAGAAAGTCAAGATGCTCCGCGGGAGCTTTGTTCTGCTCTGTAACACAGGGGGCACCATCAGTCGGAATTAACAGAAAGGGGCTATGGCAGCAAGCCCAGTGAAGTTGGTGCCGGAGGAGGCACACACCCAAGGGCAGGGGAAGGCATCACGTGCCAGCCTGGGAGCTGGAAAAGAGCAGGAGAAGGCGT